TTGATCGTCTTGCTTCCAGCAGGTTAGACTTTATTAATATAGTAGCTCTTTTCCAGTTTTACATTGTAAAGCACTCAAAGCACATACATATTCATACCGCACCTTTAACACTAAACTACTTTGATCACTACTTTGGGACTTTGACCAAACATAATAAAATTGTTTAATTCCACGTACACGTGGGTGGTCCACCTCTACACTCCACATACACCACTGTGACAGCACTTCTTATTCTCACAAAGGCCGTTAAGGAAAAATATTTTCAGGAGTTCAACAAATTTCTGTTTAAGAAGTTTCTGCCTGCGGTATTTCTACAGCAAATCGGTGTTCATATGAAGTTCGTAAGCAATAACTGGACATTTTCATTCAGACGATGGGTTTATGACCTCAGCATGTATAAAGGACACAGCCTTTCTGATTCACTTTCCCCATATAAATTCCCAGTTTGTCCTGGGACTCAAAGCAGGCACTTTCCTGTCACAATATCCTGCTCCACCTGTGATTTATATTTAGATAATCCAGAACATACCAGGGCTCCTAATTATTTATGTGCTGTTGTTTTGGCTTTGGTTCCTTTTCCCTTTTATGCTGCCTACATGTCCTGCCTCGTCTCACAGAGAAAAGCCCAGATAGAGCGGCTTTATGTTGTTTTATATGATTTGCTTTATTCATGTGTTTATATTTACTTTGTACATGTGATATTTATGTGTGTGTGTGTGTGTTTGTGTGTGTGATTTCCTTTCTTTATTTCCCTTATTTCTATTTAAAAATATTTATTTTTAAAAAGCATCATAGAGTTAGAAGATATAGAAAGGATTCCCAGAGACTTCCCACAATGTTACTTATTTTCTCTTGTAGATTTTATTTTAAAAATATAAACAATATTTTAAAAATATAAACAATAGGTTGTTTTTTTTTTTTTTTTTACAGTAATTACATAAACAAACACAATTGTGTCTGAGAGTCAAATTGAGTCACTTAAAATCCAGTGTTTGATTCAAGTTTGTCAGAAAACTGCTTACTGACTTTATTTAAGGGATAATTTTAATATAAATATATAATATAAAGGCTTATTTTGTAAACTGACAGAAATCACTTTAATAAAGAACAGTGGTCCCTAAATCTAAAAAATAGAATCTGTTATGGATGTACTTTTTTTTTTTTATAAATACAGGTAAAATAATATCTAGACTCTAGTAATATCTTTCAAATTACAAATATTTTTATTTTCTGAGCCCAACTGAGTTTTTATACTCAGCACAGTTTGTGTTATTGTTCCTTCAGATTCAATTTTGTTAGCAACAAACATTAGTTTGGACACAAACCTAAGTCACTCCAATAAACTGATACACAGGGCAGCTCAGGTCACTCCAGGAACCCTTCTGATATTGCTCGACCCAGTTTTGGTTAATCAAGTTAATCAAATAAAACTGGTTTTCCTCTTACTGTAGGTTAAATGCCAATGCCATGCTAGCTAGCTAAGATTGCTTCCTCTCTAATGTTATGCTAGAAAATTTTTCATCCATATTTATAGTGTATAATATTTTTATAGAAATAAACTCATATTTCTTCTATAGTTAATTTGCA